TTACTCGGCTCGGGTCATGCAATCCAAACACAGATTGCATCAGATGTGCTAGCGGATGGTTGTTGAAATCTGAAGATACGTAGCCAACTTTGAGATATGGCCTTGGTGGAGCTGGGGGTTGATAAACAGTTGGTGGAAGCCAGGGAACTCTCAACGTTGAACATGAGATACGCAGACCGTTCCGTTGCGATATTAGACGAATTTGCTTGGCCGACATGGGGCATGTGAAGGTGTGAAAAGGTAGTACAGTTGGGGCTGCAGGTATTGTCAAGCCCGCTGGGAGCTGGGGTCTTCTGTATGAGGATGATGGTCGCTGCTGTCCAGTCACATGTCGATCCTGGTACCACTGCCAGGTCATCCATCTTATCGCACGCTCAACAAGGCGCACGATACGCGCGCCTTCCCACTTCTGACCCTTCCATTTGGTCAATACCCGTCTCATGCTATCCTCTTTCTCTTTGATGCCTTGTGCGTTAGTGCCAGTGAGAACGAAAGGACGCATGATATCCTGGATGAAGTAATCGTCCATGATACCTCTGCCCCAGTCCTCGCCATCAGCAAGCTGCTTCTCAACCAATTTGACAACCTTGTAGATCCATCCGGAACTGGAAGCACCTGGTAGAGTGGCGTCCAAAAGCATGCCATTCTCGTTGACGTGCCATCGGTCTCTGGAGCCATGATCGTCGGCTATTCCACCTCTGCCAGCCCAGTTACAAACTGAGTTGAGAGCATTAGCAAGCCCACAAACAGCTTCCGCAAAGTCAGGGCTCGACTTGACAGCCTTGCGATAATAGAAGATTGCATCGGCGATCCGGCCTTTGTCTTTGACGGCGTTGGCAAGATTTGCGAGAGCAATGTCGAATCCTTGATCGCATTGGACGGCCTTTTCGTACATGTTGATAGCATAATCCAGTTGCCCAATGTCTTTCAAGAGACTTCCGAGGTTCGTGTACAGGTGAGCGTGGGATGAATCCAATTGGAGTCCGTAGGAGTAGTATGCAAGGGCGAGAGCAATGCCACTGCCCGGGACTAAGCCAGGTATCTGAGGCTGAGCAAAAGCGTGCGACACAGGACTCGGTTTCGCAGGGGCAGACTGTTGCACACTGGCAAGTAAAATGCCGACGTTGTTGGCTGTTGATGGACTGGGCTGAAGGGATAATGATAAGTAATAAAGAGCTAGGATCTCTCGAACACCGTAAGTACTTTGATACGTTGGGGTCTTTGGTGAGTTGGTAGCCATGCCGTCTTGGAAGATCTTTGCTAATGAGAGCAAAGAGTTGCTCATCGTCGATATAGCTGCTTTCCTCGAAAGACCTTCACTGGAAACATGTTTCAGACCAGGGAGTTGACCATGAGGTGGGAAGCAAAGCTGAGCTGTCCTAGTAGCTGCATCCGGGGGGAGCAGGATTGGATCGGACGAGGGTGGTACACGGCGTCCACCTGGTGAGCGCTCCGCAACATCATATCCAACAACGGCAAGAATACGCTTGATGAGACCATCAATGCCGTTGGTGTGTGGTCCAGTCCCAATAAGAACTGCATCTTCAAAGGCTCTGGCGGCGGCGGCATTATCACCAAGTGCGTAGAGCATGTTGCCTTTGGCATGTACTAATGCAAGAATGCGACCGTTATCGCAGCCTGCAATGGCATATCCACTCGAGCCGAAGCCTGGCTGATCCGAGCCAGGGAGCTCGTCTAGCTCCTTGAAAACCGATGATTCTTCGCCCTCAAACTCGAAAATGGGGCGATCGGATGCTTCAGAGAGGCTCGACTCGCTGTAGGTAGAGGCTGAACGTTCGCTTTGCGCTTCGAGGCTTCGCAGGGCATCTCCTCGCTTGACGAATCTCAGCTGACGTTCGACATCTTCGATAACCTGGACCGCTTCTCGTCCCTTGTGATCACTACAGAGTAGACCAATGAGGTGTTCGACAGCCTCGAAATAGCTTGGACGTAATTTGACAGCGCGCCTCCAGTGGCTCTCGGCTTCACGCTTTTGCTGAAGAGCAAGCATGGTAGCCGCCAGATTCGAAATGGCTTCAACATGGCTACATTGGGTTAGTATGAAGTGTATACTGAAAACAGGGCGTGCTTACTCTTTGTCCAAGGTCAAGATATGCTTGTACCAGTCTTGAGCCTTTTGGTAGTCACCCAGTGCGTAAGCCAGACAACCACCCAAAAGAATACCATCTATCCAAGTCCATTTACTTTCTTCACAGTGTTTGGTGATGGCCTCTAGGGCAGAAGCAGTAGTCACGCTTGGAGGTACACCGTGTTGGAGGCTCTGGTGAACACCGGCGATTGATCCAGACATTCGGCGTAAGGTCCGCGGTGGTTCGATAGCTGGAGTATGAGGCTGCATGGAATGTTGTAGTGGCATACCTCCTTGCCACGGCTGGCTATTCGGACCAAGACCCCCAACTGACCATGCTGATAATGAACGTGAATGCGGTATTTGAGGTCTCTTGTGCACGAATTCTGATCCAGGTTGAGGTGACGCATAGTGATTAGGGACTGGACACGATACACGTCGTTCCAGAGACGGCATACCGCTGACGGAAGGACCAGAAACGCTGCCTCCAGGTTGTCGCGGCGGTTTGGGGTAAATGTGAGGCCGTTGGTGTGCGCGGCCATGAGGATGTGAATTAATTTTTCGAGTTGCTTGTAAATGTCTAAGCATGTCTACGTAGACAGCATGGGCCCACGCAAACACCTTCTCCCTTGGCTGTTCGCTCGGAGGTAATGCACTAAAGTCATCGAGAGGAATGCTGGACATGTGCTCAGCGACAGGTGTTGTTTGACCGGAATGCAAAAAGTCTTGAGGGCGTTGAGTAGGAGGCGGAGGGAGGAGCTGATTTTGATAATCCAATGCAACGTTTGCATGGGGCTGCGCATATGGTGAAAACTCGAGTTGCGGCCTTGGGGCGCGGCCGTAGGCGCCATATGCATAGTCTAATTGAACAGGATTCGGCTGATGATGTGAAAGATTGGGCATGACATTACTGTATGGGTGCCCTGCAAAGGGGTTGCTATGTGAATGACTCCAGTTGTGATTAGGATGATGCAAAAACCGAGGGTCGCGCATGGCAGCAGGCCGATAGGGAATGTAGGTGCCATCGTGCCAATATGGGCCATATGGCCCTTGATCGTTGGAGACTGTGGGATTCAGGGGTGTTTGAAATGGAGGGCCCATAGGGCCGCAGAAAGGATTGCCATACATCTGGTAGGGCTCAAGGGGTTGCAATGGGGGTATTTGACTGAGCATCGAATCAATCTGTGGTAAGTGTTGGCCGGAGAGCCCAGAACCCGTTTCAAAGTAACGACTCGCACTCCATTCCAGCGCATCTCTCTGGTTCTGGGCATGGCCACGATGAAGAGCTGGGGAGCGGAGAGGGAGATCTTTGTTAATGCGATAGGGCATACCGGATTCGGCGGTCACAGGAAGTAAAATGTGCTTTGTCGCATGGGGCTCTCCGTTGGTCTCGACAGATGTACCATCGTATGCGGCGGCCAGAATACCATTTGGCGTCTTGCGGCGCAGCATGTGCTCTGCGGGCTTTGGAGTGCGGCCCGTGTCGGAGGGCGGCGAACCGTATGCGCTGTGCCTGGATAGTGGGTGGGCGTATTGTTGGGGGATAGAGTGTTGGGCGAGGCTGCGGCCGTCGGGGGTAGGGCCATTGCGGAGGTAGGAGGCGTGTGACGGGGCAGGCACCATGTTGCTGTAGCCTAGGGTGGAAGGAAGCTGCGACGGCGGCTGCGGGGGGTATGGCCGGACCATGGTCATGGTGGGGGAGCCGTTGGAGGGAATCTAGTGGTGGTGGTGGTGTGTATGTGTGCGTACGTGCGTGGGTGAATGGGGTTTGTCGCGCCGGAGACCAAGACAGGCAGTGAGCACGAGGGTGTGTACTGGTGGTCACCTTGGGACGACGGTTTGGAGCCAACTGTGTGGTGACAACCCCACAGCACAGCTTCACCAGGAGCGGCTGGTGCCTATGCCTTCGCGGAATCGTCGCCCGTCTGCTGTGCTTGACATATCTCTGGGGGGGGGTGATTGGATTGGACTGCTCAGCACCGGGCGTCGGCGTGCTGGCACGTTAGCAGCAGAGAGCCCGGCTGTGGGTTGGGAGAGGGCGAGAGAGGGTCGCTCAAGTGCGGGCCCTCTCTTTGCGATGTGCAGCAAGCGCAGAACAGGGCGGACAGGGGTGGTGGAGCGTGGGTGGGCGTGTGGTGCAGTGTGCAGTTGTAGGGACGCGGTTTCTGGGCGTCGTGTCGCGGGAAGCCCGTCGTTGGTCGAGTGGGCTGAGGAAGCAGAGTCAGCGTGTTACGGGCGGGCTGCGACTGGGGGCGCAGCAGCGGTTCCGTCACGTCGTGTCAGCAAGCTGCGCGTCGAGGAAGGCGGCGATGACTGCTTTTTTACCCTCGGGGCTCACGCTCACGCACACGCTTGCACTCACACTCGACACACAACTCGAGGGCGGATAGGCGGGCGCGCGAGATGACGAGGTGTGGTGCGGCGGAGACGAGGCAGCGGTAGGCCTATCCGCTTTCGTATCCGCCCAGTCGTTCGAGGGGTGGCTTGGAGCGATCCCTGCCGGGTGACAGACGGTCTGGGGGATGTCCGCCAGGCGATCGAGCGGGATCGAGGAACGCGCTACGGCGGGCGAGCTGGACGAGCTGGACGAGCTGGACGAGCACCGGCGGGAGCAGCACCAGCAGTGGCGGCGCTGGGCATGGATGTGGATATGGATGGCAGGATGCAGGCAGGATTTAGGATGGATGCGTGGGAACCAGGACAAGGGACGCTGCCAGCTTCTTCTATCGCCGTGCACACTGCATCCCATCGGTGGACACTGACGCCCCGACTGCACGGAAAACAAAACTTGGCCATGCTAGCAGACTGCAGAGAGACATCAAGCCCAAAGAGACGGCGGCTTGCAGGGGCCCTCGTCCATTGACGCGGGTGCCGCAATATCCACCATGGCCCATCATCCATCACTCACCAGCCCGTTCGCCCTGGGTGCTTGCATATTGCATCCTTCTGGCTGCCTGACTAACTGACCCGCCCGTCGTGCGGTCTGAATACACTCATTCATTCACAGAGTACGTATGTACATGCATACATGCACATAATACTTACATACACATGTACATACACCCACACACACCCACACACCCACACACACACACACGTATGCAACAATGAACGTACCCGCTCGCCAAGGGCTCCCGCGTCAGCCGTCATCGTTGATGCAGCCGTTTCATGTGCCATGCAGATCCCCCATAGCGCGACAAGGTACCACCACACCACATCATGCCCATCACAAAGATAATACACACCAACGCACATACACTAAGCTACACACACACATATAAGTATGTTGACCACGGAAAAGGACCACTGAAGCCACCCCAAAGGAAAGGCTCCGCGGTGAGTAATGGGTCGCTTTCTTCTTCTTCACACCAAAATAGGCCTATACAGTAAGGGAAGTAAGGGCCAGAGTGTTGGTGAAGTGATGGATCATCACAGAGTACAAGGGTTCCAGGGTGCCCCGGACAGCCTGCCATCCTGTCGCCAATCAAGCCTGTGATCAAACTCATCAGTCGACATCTGCCAAGTTGACCCCATCTTGCAACATGGGAATTTGCCTGGCAAGACTGCGCTTTGAAGCAAATGCTGCATATGCCCATGCAACACCGCCTGTTCCATGTTCAATAGAGATGCAGCAGGTCACTGTAGGGGCCCTCGTTCCTTGAGACCTATGCCCAGCCGATACTTGCTGGCCCATGCTGACGATGCTGGTGCTGATGCTGGAGAAGAGCGGCGCCCTTTACATGGCGGGTTGCGCCGTGGCTCCAAGCGCATTCATCAAGGGATGTGCGGTCGCGCACCAGACCCTGCCAAAGGGATGATGAGTGCACAGCATTCGACAACAATTGACCTAGTCGGATTCGTGAAACAATAAAGCGCAAGCCATCGTGCGCGTAGGGTATCCTGGGACTATGTGGAAACAAAGTGTGAGTTGTTGTGAACAGGTGAGGTGGAAGGAAAAGCTTTTAGTAGCTCGCAAAGAATTTCATGTACCCAAGCGTCGCTTAGTCACCCCGCCCGGACCTACCTTCCGCCGGCCTGGGGTTTGATGTAATGTGGCATCACGAAAGTCCACCGTGTCAACCGCCGAACGCTTAGTTTTCCAGAGTCCTCCATCACCAATCTGGTTCCCCCCGCCTTGATCGGTCAGGTCATCTCTCTTGTCCGCGGTTCAAACTCTCGCTCTCACCATGGCCGAACAAGAACAACCCCCGCCAGAGTATGAGACCCATCAAGGCCCGCCACCACCGGGCTCGATTGCCATTCCGATACCCCTCGGGCCCAACGGCGAAAAGCCCACCCCCGAGCAAATCCAGCAAATTCAGATGCAAATTGCCGCCGAGGCCCAAAGGCATGGAATCTCGATTCAGGAATATGTTCAGCGAATGCGACAGCAGGCTATGGCTCAGCAACAGATGCAGATGCAGGCGCAGATGGAGGCCCAGCAGCGCGCGCAACAGCAACAGCAGCAGCAGCCCATCCAGCCCGGCCCACCTAAGCCCGAAGCCATTGCTCTTGCAAATTGGCTCAAGTCGCAGGACCTGAAGCCTAGGACCGTCGTGCACGACGAAAAGAGAAAGGATATGTTCAGAGGTAGGATGCGACCATTTTTTGTCATGTTAATATGAAGTTAACAAGTGAATAATAGTCAAGCGAGCGATCCGCGCCATACAGTCACCCGCATACCAAAAGGCACGGGCTAAGAATCCTCTTCTCCCAGAAGTCCATGACCGCGTAACAGCAGAGAACTGTTTCAAGCTGCTGCCTCTTTCTCTGCTTGCACTCCGGGTATCCAAGGCCGACGAGGACGAACACGAGGGCCACAACCACGCCAAGCCCAAGCGCATCAAGGGACTGTGGACCGTCAAGATTGAGCAGCACCAAGACGCAAATGACGACAGTTACTACATTTGGCTGTACGAGGGATCGCAATGGAAGCAAAAGCTGTACGCTGTTGGCGCCTTGGTGGCTGTGATTGCTATCGTGCTGTTCCCGCTTTGGCCGCTGATGCTGCGCCAAGGTGTATGGTACCTGAGTATGGGCATGCTTGGATTGATTGGACTCTTCTTCGCCATGGCCATTGTCCGTCTGATTCTCTTCATCATCACAATATTCGTTGCCCCGCCTGGTCTCTGGCTGTACCCTAATCTATTCGAGGACGTTGGTTTCTTCGACTCGTTCCGTCCTGTGTGGGCATGGCAAGAGGTACGTAAAATATTATCCAACTTTTTACCCTTTTTTTTTACAAGGTGTAACTAACAGATTGCGACAGACTCCCGAGGATATCAAGGCAAAGAAGGCAGCGAAAAAGGAAAAGAAGGCCGCTAAGCTGGCTGCTAAAGCTGCGGGTATCAAGGGCAAGAAACACGGTCATGATGCTTCGAGGACAACAACTCCAGTGCCGCCGAATGCTGCTCCCTTTGCTGCCCCTCCTGCGCCTGTGGATAACGCACCACAAGCTACTGGGGCGGAAGCCACAGAAGAGGGCGGGGTAACTCAGCGGCCACCACGGGCGACTGTGGAGGAGGTTCAGGAGGAGTAGTAGTAGTGTAGGTGTGTGCGTTTGTTTGTTTGTTTGTTTATTTGTTTAGGTGCACTAGGTAGATAGGGAGCGCGAGGTAGAGAGGGGGGTGGGACGATGATACTATGCATGGCTTTGCAGGCGCAATTTTTGGCATTTCTTCCTCTTAAACAATTGTCTGTGTTTTGGAGAACCGAAGAGAGTGACGCGTGATACCGAAGTTGGAGGAGAGGAGTATCTGCAGATGTACTCTTTCTCTCTTTTTTTTTTTTTTTTTAAAAAAAAACAACTTTGGTATTACGTGCGTTTCACTTGAATTTTATTCCATTATTTTATCTATCATCGTGATGATCTTTGTGTTGTTCATTTCTTCCTTGGTGTTGTTTTTCTCCGACTTTTTTTCTTTTTTTTTTGCTGAGTAAAACAATCTCCCCCTCGATTCGTGGTCCATGTCCAACCTTGGGCAATTTAACCTTTTTTCCGCACCAGTTTGGAAACTTTGATATCAAGGGTCCTTGGGGGCGGGAAGTAGGGGAGCCGGACACCAAAGTGATCAGTGTGCGTGTGTCCAAGCTTCTATTGCGTTTTTCCCTTGAAACGCAAGTGAAGAAAGTTTGAAAGGAAAAAAAAAAGGGTATAACGTTTACTTCGCAATTTTCATTGGGGGATGAGACGGGTAGAGGTCCAGCTGTGTTGGCGCGGGGAAGGGCGATGGGAAATAGGGTTGTTTGGTTGTCGTGTTGCGGTATTTAGACATTGGGGTGTGTATGTAAGGGAGTGAAATTGGGACTAGTTCGTTGCTGCGTAATTGCGGGTTTCGGAGATGTATACTACTAGAGAGTACTTAGGTGTGTATATATTGGTACGAGTTTTTATGGAGAAGAAGAGATTAAAATGGTTCGCTATAGTTGTATGTGTTTGTAGGTAGTAGTTTCGAACAGGTGGCAGGAGCGCATGCAGACAAGGGTGTTGGGTGTCAAGTCAGGATACCCATGACGTACATGCTCGTGTCGTGTAATTGCGCGATATATCTCTTATCTCTTTCTCATACGTGTATCCAAGGCATAGATCTCATGATTATCGTCATTTTGTTCTGGTTCTTGTGAGGTCGTTGCTGTACAGTGTGATGAGCAGACAATTAATTCGAGACCAAAAGTACAGTCATCTCGGAACCACGCATGCGCAAACCAAAGTAGTCAATTAACGTGACGAATTCAGCCACAAGCCATTAGTCGTACTTGAAATTACCGAAAAAAAAGAACGATGACTAGGAGTAACTGTTTTTCTCTCAAAACCACATCAACGCCATTACTATGCAACCGCCGCCACCGTCATAATCATGTCATGAGAGGAGAAGCCCAACCCGACGCCGGTGGAAAAAGAATAAAACAAAAAGATCAAAAATTACTCTGCAGTGGCAGTGGGCTGGGCATCTTGGGTGGCATCATCACCATCATTGGCCTGGCGATTAGGGGTTGGGGCAAGACTAGAGTGGACAGAGGGCGAGTGGGTGATTTGGCTGCTAGGGTTTTGTTCTGCTAGCTGGCGCTCTACAGAAAAATATCGTCAGTACTAGTGATGTATTACAAGTAGATAAGTACTTACCTAGTTCTCGTATCCGCTGCTTGAGCATCTGGTTCTCGCGAGTCAGGTTCTGAGTCTCTGCCTGGTAAAAAGCACTTTCATCCCTAGCGGCTGCAGGGCTGGGAAGCATGTCGTGGGGGTCGTAGGAGCCGGCTTGGCCGGATATGGGGCGCAGGGCGGGAGAGCCCGCATGACTGCTGTGGCGCGAGCGGTCTGCAAACGACGACTGGCGGCTGATAGAACCCAGGCCAAAAGGCGAACGGGAGCGGGGCTGGGCAGCCGAGGGCAGTGGCGATATGTGCTGCGAGTGCGAGGCGGGAATGGACATGGAGCGCTCCGAGGTGGGGGTGCCGTCGTCAACCACAGCAGAGGCGGACGAGGGGTGCTGGTTGGCTTGGAGGTTGTTTATCTGGGCCTGCTGGGTGCGGATCATATTGAGGAGGCGGTTGACCTGACCCTCCTGCTCAGCCTCGAGCTCCTGGTGCAGCTCACCCAGGCTGGGGGCGCGCTCATGGTGGGGGCTGTGTGGCCAGGCACCGGTACCTCTGGCACGGGCTGAAGGGCTCTGTTGCATCTCGCCGGGGGCAGGCAGGGCGGGGTCGTTGAGGTTGAGGTTCATGCGGATGCTGGAGCGGCGACGGGCACGCTCTGCATCTCTTCGAATGTCACCTGACGAAGGCGAGTGCGAGTCCTGGTTGTGGATGCCGGCATTCAAGGCAGCCGTGGCGGCGAGCGAGTGGGGAGAGCGCGAGCTGGAGGGCGACTGGGTACGAGGCGAGGGCGAGGCATGGGGAGGGGGAGAGATGGTGTTGACGTCGGGCATGGCGGGGATGGATGGTGTTGACTTGTAGGCGTAGATGGGTGTGGGTGTGGGTGTGGGTGTGAGTGTGAGTGTGAGTGTGGATGAGAAGATTGATGAATGTACTACTGTAGTCACGGTAGTCAGCGTCAGCGTCACCAGACAGCTGTGGTGGGGTGACTGGCAAAGCTCTGGCGGGGCAAGTCGGACGGCGGCGCTACTGCAGGAACACCAAAGCCGGCCAGCCCTGCCTTGCCTTGCCTTGCCGCCCCCCTGCTCCCCTTTCCCGCTTCCTACCACTACGACTACTACGACTACTGTAGTACTTGTCATCATCTCATCATCCCCCCCTCCCCCATCGCCATCGCCATCGCCACCAGCCCTCGTTCCCGTCCGCCTCATCTTCATCATCCCCATGCTCGTCGTCATCGCGACATGTCACCAACGGGAATAAGATTTGCAGCCATGCCACCCGCTTGCGTGGGCTAACATGGCATTCCCCGTGCACACCCGCACCGCACCAAACTCTACTTATGCACCTCACTGCCTGTGGCACACGCTGAGACAGCAGGCCAAACATTGTGCCTACGCCCCTGGTGACCTTTTACCACGCTGCTACTACGACTTCATTTTCCTTTTGGCCTCGCCGTCGCACCCTGACCATGTTTGTGACGGACGTGCCACACTGGCCGTAAAAACAAATTCACCGCCCAAACACGATCCCATATCTCCCCACGCTCCAGTAATGCCTGACGTCGGCTGCTACGGCCACAGTGCCGCTCCTTGCCCGGCCTTGTCCTGCAGAGTTTCGCTAATAATACTTTTTTTTCGCGACCCTGTCCTTTCCACCCCGCCCCGAGAGCGGCTAGGTGGTGCATTCTGCTACAAACTACTCTGTCCTCGTCATCATTGTCGTCGTCGTCGTCGTCGTCGCCGTCGTCGCCGTCGTCGCTGTTTCCGCCTTTGCAAGGTACTACCTGGACTCTCTACCAACACGCGTCGTGGCGTACTTACACCCGAACTCCGTTCACATCGGCGCACTTCGTCCGCGTGCACAGCCAAGTGCTCGTGTTGGCTGGGCCAGCGCACTGTCAAAAGACGTTGTGCCGGCTCTCCCCCGGCTAGCCTGCTTGCAGCGCGCCAAAATAGCCCCGGCCTCGATTAGCGCACGCCGTCGCCATCTCTCCCTTCCCAACTTTGTCTTCGAGCTGGCCGTATAGGGGCCACATTACACCCCCTGCGTCTTCACATCACACAGGGAACTGCTCCCCTGGCGCACTACCATGATTACCCATCCTTCATCTGCGGCAACTAACACTCGCCACCACTCTTCTCCTCCTCCGCGACTCTCGTCACCAAAGCCGACTCGTGTCGTCGTTTCACTTTGGTCAGCTTTCTGGTCCTGTCCACATATCTGCCGCCCAGCGCCGCCGCCCTCTTCTCGTTCATGGGCTCATGTCCCGTCCGCTCGTTTGATCTTCGCTTCTCCTGGTGCTATACCACCACCACCTATATCCCGCTCCTTGTTCCTTTCCGCTGACTCTCCCCACATTGCTTGATCCCCAATTCGGCTCTTCCGTTATCCTCGACTTCCCAATCACCATTGTCACGCTCTCACACACACGGACCATATTCGACCAACGTCTGCACCCCGGCCGTCCCTTCCGAGAGACCTTGACCCCCGAGAGACCAGCCTTCCCTGTCGCTCTCCATATCAACAGATTCGACTGTCCCGTGCCACAACCAATCTGCCGCACCTACTACCCACTTGCTTTGTCCCCTCCAAATCATCTACTCGCCGGCACTCACACTTACACTCCAGTCGCTCTCTCACATTCCCACACTGCCGCCGTGCAGTCATAGCACATTCACAATGGCCGACCTTTCGGCACGGCCGCCCATGTCCAGATGGCGCCTTACCCGCTCTACAGCAAACTTGCGAGAAGCAGCACGAGAAGCAGCACGCTCACCCTCGATAACATCCAAAGCATCCGTACCGGCTCCAACAAAAACGCTCGAGCGTGTATCTTCCAGAATGTCCTTGTTCAATCTATTCAGCAGGCCAAAGGTAGAAAAGGCCCGCGGTCACACAGAGGTTGGTCTCGCAGTGCCAATGCGGCCACAAACGCCGCCAAAGCCGACTGCTCCCATGTCCGTACCCAAGTCTTCACTGCGACAAAACCCTTCGCCCCCCGCTCAGCAGACAATACGCGCCCGAGCAAGCCAAAGATTCCGGCCCACATCTATGCGCTCCACTGTATTATACAACGAGTTTGGTGACTGGGAGCCACCGCCGCTCTTCCAGGCTTTTCCCCAGTCTATCAAGCATGCTACCGTACAAGCCTGTGTCTTTGCTCCAGAGGTCTTGATGCGGACACAGAGCCAAAGACGGCAAGCAGAGTCTCTACTCGAGAGAATCGACCATGAGCGCGAACTATCCACCATTATTGAAAACAGCACAGAGGCCAAGAAGTTGGAGAAGAGCCACAAACGCCTCATATCCCACTCAGTACTTCACCCATCTACACCAGAGCTTGTCAACAAAATTTACGTCCTGGTCACTAGCGGGTACATCCTGCAATATGCCGGTGACGGTCCCTTTGACAGGGTACCGGAAAAGGTACTCAAACTCGGCAAGGAGTCTGCGGCTTTTGCCTGTGATCTCATACCCGGCAAACACTGGGTGCTTCAGATATCCAGCCATGCTAGCGGTGATGGCGCACTCGAAGTTGGCCCAAAGAGCTCGATCCTTGCACGTCTGCGCACACAACATCTTAACACACGCAGATCTGTAACGAGCTTCCTCTTAGTTCTTGAGAGCGCCGAAGAGATGGATGAGTGGATGACGAGTGTGCGAAGGGAGATTGACAACCTTGGTGGTACAAGAACAAGGGATGACTCTGCCCGAGCTTCTTGCTCTACCGATGGTGGCTCGGTAAGCAAAGAGTCTGCTGAAATTGCGAACCATCGGTTCAGGGTCAGTCGAGACGCGTACAACATGAGCAAGGTTGTACCAATCGAACCACGCCTTTCAGCGTCGCCAAAAATCATCGCCTCAGACTGGGAAACGAATCCTGAACAGACCAAACGTAGCATCGACTCATCTAGCGGACAATCTCATCGACAAAGCAGCCGTCTCTCCGTCGAGACGTCATCAGCCACCTCCACACCAGTATCTCAGCACCAGATGCAACTCGAACAGTTGCGCGGCCGCTCACGGTACTCCTTCATGTCATCATCGACATCTTTTTCTGGCGCCGGGACCCAGAACACATCGCGCGAATCATCACCCGCGCCACAATCACCTCTGATGGAAGAGTGTGGTGCGACTGGCGACAACGAGCCCCTCCGAAGTGCCATGTCCCTGCGATCCTTCCAAATGAATCCAAACAATTCAATGTCATCCCGACGTAGATCCATGCAGCCACTGCCGACAACTGACGAGAATCTTCTGCAATCAGCTGAGACTTTGTCTAAAAACATACGTCATTCTCTCTACAGTCCTGCATCACCCACGTTTCCCGGGCTTGAAAACCCTTTGGCCGCAGGCCCAATTGCATTAGTTAACCAAGCACCAAGTCTGGATCAACCTCAAGAAACTGAAATCGGTTTGGCATACTCATCGCCCCCGGAGCTCAAGAACGATATCCCAGACCAGTCCGAGGAAGACGACAGCCCTCCCACTCGTGAGGATAGCCCAGTGAGGTTCAACGCGCATGTCTACAGCTCGCCACCTAGGAGGGACGTCATCTCACCTCCTCCTAAAGAGCCTGCACCGCTTCCCCCACAACCTGCTCGACGCCAGTCCATCATGGGTAATACGACAACAACAGGCATGTCAAACCCAGCGCCCTACCTTGCTTCTACCAGCAAAGTCAGCGGGACAAGGCGTCGAACTTCGGGATCACCAAAGCCTTTTCTGCGACCTATTCCGGTCCGCCCTCAAGCCCAACATATTGATTCTGCAAGACGTCGAGCTAGCCAGACACCCTCACCTACGCCTTCCATTTCTCCCTTGATCACAAATCGATCCGTGACTGCACCAATACGGCCAGCTTCAGCAGCATCCAACAGGACAACATCCCCTAGCCTTCATGGTCTTAATCCAGCACAGTCTAACCCATTGCGTCGGCCGGCCTCAGTCCAGATCCGTTCTGATCGAGCACCTTTCTTATCATCTCGCCCACTGCGCCTCATCTCCTCTACACCGTCTTTCGTTCCCGGCCAAAGAATGTCAATCCAAGCAGCCCCTACAACGACCAACGTTCAAGCATTCCCTAATATAGAGGCGCTGAGGCAACGAACGCTAGCCCAGCAAACCAGCCAAAAGACGATTGTACCAAAGTGTAGTTTAAGTTCAATTGGTCTGCCTCCACCCGCGCCCCCACCAAACATGCCCCTTCCTCCACCTCCTCGCAATATCACATCGCCTACTCCGCCGCCCAGCATACCACTTCCTCCGCCACCACCAACCGCAGATCTTCCAGTCACGCCACTCAGCATTCCACTTTCTCCGCTCATGGGCCTCCCAGCACCACCACCCACTGCGCCACTACCCCCTACACCGCCCGAGGTTGCACTTAGGGCCTCTGTCGTCTGATTACCACCAAAAAAAGATGTCTTATACGAACATCGTGTACACCATGAAGTCGGCGTTTCGAATCGGTCTTTGTTATTATACTGTTGAGATTTGGGCCGCCTCTTCTTTCCTCGTCGCGGCTATTACGCTTTCATGTCACTGTTTACCTTGATGCCTGTTGTTTTTTAAATCATTGATCTGGCGAGGAGAAATTGTCGTACGTCTGTTTTCCGCGCTATACCAGTCCGCTAGGCCTCTCTGTCTCTCCTTTGATTTCTTTTCCCTATCCCCTTGTTCTCTTCGTGTATCTTCTTTTTTTTCTCTCGCTTGATTGCGTCATTTGCATGCTATACCACGCACGCACGTCTTGATGGGTTGTTTTCTTAATCTTGGCACCGGATGTGGCCCTTCTTGTTGGACCAGGGTCCGCAAGGGTCTTCCGTATAGCTGGATTCATTGCGTTTGTTCTTCAAGCAAGTCTTGTAATGATTTTGTGGAGTTTGATTGGTTATCCTGGTACGGGAGGGGAAAGGGAAATTAAAAGAGATTTATTGGGTGCTAGACTTTAGACTAGGTTTTCCCGCGTTGATTCGTGCTCATGCATTCGGCTCAGGCTTTGATGCACTTGGGGGTTGTTGGTTAATTCTATCCTCTTCCCCTTCTCATTCGGATTGTCCAAACCTTTATGTGCATTGTGATGTATGCTTGCATAGTGTTTGTCAGGTATGCGTGAGGGGGAGGGGGGGTTGTGTTAAGCTGTGGTGAAGTGTGCAACAACTGGTTTCATCACATATTGGTTGCCAGTTGTACTACCACCAAGGCATCTTATAACGGAAATGATGTAAATTAGCCTTGTTGATAATAAACTCCATTTCCAAAAAACCTTCTCAACTCCCCTCCCCCCCAAAATGCCTCTATCCATGATAATCTTCCGCATTTCCAAATCCCAATCATGTCGGTAAGTTAAACCCGATATACCCACAACTCAATCCATCCCCCTTCTAACAAAACCACGAATCCAGCCCTTCACAGCCAGTCCTTATACTTTTCCCTCCAAACACTTGTCAGCACTGTTACCCTTTTCCTTGCTTCGGATCAGAAAAAACTCACCTCACAATGGTTCTCCTCCTCCCTTTTCTTCATCTGCGCAATCAATCTCCCCGCACCACCCCATCGCTCTTTCTTGCCACCCTTGTCGTAGTTTATCCAATGGCCATTCCTGTATCTCCACCTACCCGCTAATCCCATGCCCTTTTTCTTCTTTTCTTTCTTCTTCTTTTTCTTGCCATGGGAGGCCAAGTTGATGTCTGGGATGGCGGTTACGTTGGCGTTGGCGTCGTCGTTTGTGTTGGCGTCGACGACTGTTGTCTCTGCGTTCGCATCTGCGCGCGCGGAAATGGCCCATTCTGGGTAATACACATCGTCATCGGTGATGCCCTGCCACCACAGCGCGGGGTCCTTGGGATGCTTGAGCGGAGTGTCGACGGGTTCTGGGGGGACGTTTTTGCCGTATTTGCCGCTGGGGCGGGGGGGTAGTCCTTCCCCGGCGAGGGCGAGGGTGGGGAGGAGGGTCAGCGTGAGGGTGGCGAGGAGCTTCATTGTTAGTGCGTTTAGAGAAGGGACGGTTTGGTAGTGGTGGGAAAAGCGTGGTGGGGTGGGAGGGTTATATGGGAGGGGGCAAGGGGAGATTTAAGGTAGTGGGTGTTGTGAGTGGATGGAGTGAGAACCCTGGTACGGATTTTGGACAAATATGAAGAGGTGATATGATTTTTTGTTACTTGAGATTGTTTATTGGTGGTGGTGTTGGGGGTTTTGGGACCCCTGAATCGGAACCGGTACGAATAGAGAATGATATCAAGAAATTTGGGAACAGCCAGTTATACCCATCCCATTTCAGAGCTTTGCTATATTAGACATCGGTGTTACAAGAAAAGATTGTGATAAGAAGCGGAATTAAGGTTTGTGACCAACTACGATACTATTTGTTCTGTGTAGGTAGTCTTTTCTCAACTAGTGCCATGGATCCATTATATTCGAGACCAGTCGCCACTGCGCGTTGATGGAACACAACGATTGGAAAATAGCAATATTTATATCCAAAGACACTAGGGACTAAACAATCCAATTACAACTGGTACTTTGCGTAAAACCGCCAGTCCCTAGGTGCTGTGCAAGAAGTATCTTCGGTACCGAGCCTCTATGATACCAAAACGGTAGATAATGTATTACTGAGACGAACATTTTGACTCCCGGTCTTTTCCGGGACTGCTTTAACGATATAATGACTGAACGAAATTTCAATCGATAAACGTGTCCCAGTCCATTTCACTCACTTCGTCGTCCGAGTGTACCGCCCTACGGCCAACAGTCTCGATGGATTGCTTTACTTGGTACCGTCCCTCGCCACCACTATCGCTAGAACCACTACTCATACCATAACCTTGATGACTACTTTCGCTCACAGGCAGCTCCATCTCCTGCGCCAACTCTCGTGCTTTACGATTTGCGTAAGCGTGAGCACTCTCCGCCTCAAGTTCGACTGGCTCCGGCTTCCTTGGGCGCTGCTTCTTCTTTCCCGGTCCATCTGTGTAATCAGAGCTAGAGTCTTCGGGTTCTACGGTGTCGTCGTGTAGAATGGGTGGTACTGCGAGAGATATCTGGTTTGCCTCAAAGGCTTCAGGTATTGGTAGTGTTTCAAGTTCTTCCCACTCTGCGCGGTACTTTATGAATGATCGCCAGTCGTCGGGATGCGTGATGATTCTCTCATCTTCCTCATCGTCTTCATCGCTGACGGGATCGATCTGATTGAGGTATTTGGACTTGTCTGGGTTGCGACCGAGCATAATCCACATCTCCAACTCGTCCATTTGAGCATTCTTTCGATCATGCTGCTTCAGCGTCAGTGTTGGTGGCTTTAGTGTTTGACCATCTCCTGTTGTATATCGGCCAGTTGTATCTCGGGACGGCTGTGTAGGCTGCGATGGTTGCGGAGTTTCGTCCAGCAACGACTCATCCGAGTCAGATAGCGCAAGTCGTTCTATAGGAAGAGGCGTCCCTTTTCGCGCTGCTCGTAACCGGGCTTCAGCCTGATCATCTGAAGATTCCACGTCCGTCGTTAGAGTACTGGCGATGGGCTCCTCTGGGCGCATGATGCGTTCAAATTCATCCCAAGGCACCTCTCTCTTGATTTTCTTGCGACCGTGCCGAGATAGCTGCTGATCGTAGACTCTCAGTGCGCACCGCCGCGCAACACCTCTCCATCTCTCTTGGCTGTTTCTAGGCATACCAGCAAGGTCGATGGCGGTACGAACGTCCCTTTTCCTTACTGTAGGAAGTGCACCGTGTGTGGCCCTCTTGCTCCGTGAACGTAGACGGGACATTGCTTGTATCATAGCCAGCCGTACAAGCCGTGTGGTGACTGACACGACGAGGTTGTGGAAGTCACCAAATGCAGTACGATAGATGGATGGCTCTTGGGCAATGTCTGATGTACATTGCGACCAGTGCGGCCAAGGAGAAGGTATCGTTGGCGAGCGATTCATGAAGACATCCCTTGACAGCTTCAGCATATTTTGTGGGTGCAACAGTGATCCTTCTGGAAGTGATTTAAGGATAGCGGGCGTAGTTGGTACATGATCAGTCTTGTCGGGTTCCCCGTCTTGCTTGGGCTCTTCAGAGTTGACAGCTTGATCAACCTTGGTAGATGATTCAGGATACACACATTGGGCCATCTTTCGTCGCCTGCAGTTACTGCATGGAAGCTCTCGGTTGCACTTTTGCTTAAACTTCTTGCACGACAGGCATGCTCTGCACAGGTCAGTACTGTCTTTGGATACAAACACACATACGTACCCTACAATGACCTTCCCCCCTCTTCGAGGAGGTGCTGGCTCGTATGCCTCGCCGTCGATAGCGTTCTCAATTGCATCAGCCACGGCCGAAGTGATCAACCAATAGTCGCCATGCTGTTTTTGCTCTTGACGAGCCTCCCACTTCTCCTGGTACCACGCCAGTGCATCGGCTGCAAGTTCTACCTGGGCGTCGCACTCGTCGCCAATCTCAACAGCGGCCGGGATATCGCGAAAAGTCAGACCAGCATCGCCCTGCTTGACTGCGGCACCGTGGAGCAACAAGAGCAGTTCGCGTACCTCTGGTATGCTTTTACCGACTGTATCTGCTATGCCTGGGACATCATCTCTTCCCAGTCGCTGCAGAGCCGAGTAAAAGGTAGCTTGCTCGGCTGTGGACCACAATGAAGAACCAATTTGCCAGGAGTAAAAAGCATAGGGCATGTGACTACTGTCGAAGCGAGTGGCAGCTTCCTGAACAATTCCATTGAAGAGAAGGCGGTATCGGTCACAATATTTTCCTTCGAGGTGATATTTTCGGGGACGTGCCAATCTCTCTGCATCTGTTCGACGGTGTTTGGACGACCGGGAAGGCTCGTCAGTCCAGTCGGACTCAGCTTGCATGGCGGGCGAGACCCGGGCAGCCGTCGCCCAGTACACCTGTATTGACAGGAAAAACGGCAGCAAATGGCAGTGTGTACATGCAGCTAGGTGGTGAAAGTAGCTGTAGTAGAGTGGGTAGCGAAAGAAGAGAGGCTTGCGGCTATGTCACGTGATTGTACTCAGCGAGATGCCTTGCCCCAATGAGCGAGGCTGTTGGCAGATGCGTCTCAGACACTAGGACAGTTTAGGACAATCCCATGCTCGGGTGTGGCTTGCTCTCGGCTATCCCACTACCATTACTTTTGCCATTCGTCTGTAATTATAGAAATATTTTTGCCGGGGGTGGTTGGGGGAGACAATTAGGTGGGGCTCTACCGTGGCCGACTTTGCCTGTACTGCGTCATGCATCGTGATTTGGCGACAGTCTCGCTCCCCCTCGACGCGTCTTCATGTTCCGCCATGCGCTGAAACTGTGCACTCAGCCAGGCTACCGACCTGTCTGGGTAGTAAGAAGAAATGCTTCACGGCTGGCCAGGTCCAGGAAAAAAGCCGCCGTACCAGCTGTGTCCTCATCACCGTCATCCTCGCTACCATCACCACCTTCATCTCCACCTCCACCCACCGTTGTCCTACGCGAATACCAAGAAGAATGCATCCAAGCCGTCCTGTCGTACCTCGAGCGCGGTCACAAGCGCTTAGGTGTATCATTGGCAACAGGCTCTGGCAAAACCGTCATCTTCACTCACCTAATCGATCGCGTCCCCGCCCGTGGCAATGCGACCCAGACACTCATCCTCGCCCATCGCCGTGAGCTTGTTGAGCAGGCCGCGCGCCATTGTGCCCGCGCATACCCCACCAAGCATGTAGACATTGAAATGGGCAACCATCAAGCCTCGGGTGCCGCCGACATCACCGTTGCCTCTATACAAAGCATCACGTCAGGCGATCGCCTTAACAAGTTCGATCCCGCCCGCTATAAACTCGTCCTGGTCGACGAGGCCCATCACATTGTCAGCTCGACCTATCTCGATGTCCTCAAGCACTTTGGCCTGCGCCATGCTACGGACTGGAGCAACACCACCGCTCCTGCTCTCGTTGGTGTATCTGCCACCTTATCCCGCTTCGACGGCAGGAGGCTGGGCGCTGTCATTGACCACATTGTCTACCACCGGTAAGTCTCGACATGGGACGAGTGGCGAGCGAGTGAGCTAACCTAAGATAGTGACTATGTAGACATGATTGAGGAGAATTGGCTCTCTGATGTAATTTTTACAACCGTCGAAATCAAGGCTGACTTGACCAAAGTGAGCACAGGATCCAATGGCGATTTTCAGGCTGGCGCTCTTTCCCGAGCCATCAACACCGACGAGACGAATAATCTTGTACTCAAAACCTGGATGGCAAAGGCAAAGGACCGGCACTCGACGCTCATCTTCTGCGTTGACCTCAGTCACGTCACCAATCTTACAAACATTTTCCGCCAGGCTGGAATTGATGCGCAATTCGTCACTGGAGAAACACCAACCAAAGTCCGCAGCGCAAGGATTGAAGCTTTCCGAAACAAGGAATTCCCCGTGTTGCTCAACTGTGGCGTATTCACCGAAGGCACAGACATCCCCAACATCGATTGTGTGCTTTTGGCCCGACCAACCAAGTCTCGCAATCTCCTGGTTCAGATGATCGGACGCGGTATGCGTCTCTACGATGGCAAAGACAACTGCCATATCGTTGACATGGTTGCCGCTTTGAGTACTGGAGTGGTTTCGACCCCGACCTTGTTTGGTCTGGACCCTGCAGAAATTGTAGACAAGGCAGACACAAAGACTTTGGCAAAGATCAAGGAAACAAAAGAGTTAGAAAAGCAAAGAGAAGAAGAGGCGTTAATGGCAAAACAACCGACCGTCGCCAAAAAGCTGCCTGGCAGCATCTCCTTTACCGACTACGACTCTGTACACGATCTCATAGCAGACACTTCTGGCGATCAATACATACGCAACATTAGCCCAAATGCATGGGTAGGTGTAGGCGAGGGTAGGTACGTTCTCTCTGGGAAAACTGGGAATTATCTCGTTATCGAGCCCTCAGACACCGCAGATGGTTTCTTCAGAGCAAAGTACTATTGGAAGATACCTGTCACCAAGCAGACGA